CAAAGGAGCAAACCATGATAGAGCTTGTCCCATAAGTAAGGTTCCAACAAGCCCAACACGTGACTCCTCCGTTGGATATCGTTCGGGCTGTAAAACTGTTATCAACCTGATTTGATTGACGAATCCTCGAAACTTGGAACGTGTTCCATCAAACTTATCTGGAAGGCTAACTCGAGGCTCCTTATGTTGTAGAACTAGTGGTTCTTGTCGAACCTGAGGTAAAGTTGTTTCTCCAAGTGCCGAAATTTGAGGCTGGTGTAGTTTAGATTGTGCTATCCCAGATACTCCATCATTATGAAGCCTTGCCACCACTCCTTCAATCTATGCAGTTCTTTGTGATAACGTAGCGAGGGCATTCATAATAGCATCTAACTTAGACTCCGAACTTTCTGTCATACTAATGTCTTGACCTCCGGCCATTCTAAAAGAAGGACAAAAATAACCCTATAAGAGGCAATATTGGTTTATAGGAGGGTAATCCACAACCTATAAAATGCCTTAAGAATTTCAAGAAGAGGGGTAATCCACTCTCTCCAAGAAGAATAAGACTCCAATATTGTAACAGAAGAAGTATCAGTTTAAAGGAGGGTAATCCGCAACCTCTAAAAAATGCTAGTATACCTTCAAGTAGAGGGGTAATCCACACTCTACTAAGAAGGAACTAGCTCTGATATCTCAAGTTAGTGTAGTCTCGACAAACTGTCACGGACACAAAATACAGACTTAAAATCTAACAAGAAGTTCAAGAAGAAGTGACAAAACTAGATTAAACAGATGAGTACAAGAACAACACCAGAAAGGTGAGCTAGAACTCCAAGAGATGTGTTATCGAGACTGAAGAACTCTTCAGCCTCGATCCCTATATATACTCCTACTTAGGAAGCTTCTCGAGCTACTTCTATTAACTAGGAAGCTTCTAGAAAGTTCCAGGGGATTCCTTTCTAGAAGCTTCTAGAAACTTCTCTTCTAGAAGGTTCCAGAGACTTCCTTTCTAGAAGCTTCTAGAAACTTCTCTCTAAAAGGTTCCAGAGGCTTCTCTTCTAGAAGGTTCCAGAGGCTTGTTTTCTAGAAGGTTCTAGAAACTTCTCTCTAGAAAGTTCTAAGGAATATGTCCCTAACATTCAATCTAATATCTCTTCTACGTCAAATTCAACATGATCATTGATTTCAATCATAAGAGGTGGTGGTTGTCTTTGACTTGGTATGTTCGATCTTTTATATCTTTTCAAAAGTGAAACATGAAAGACTAGATGAATTTTCATGAATGAAGGTCATTCCAAGCAATAACTTATATTATTGATTTATTTTTGAATCACAAATGGTCCCAACCTATGGTGGTTCAAATTATCACATAACTTCGTGGTTTTTATATTGTGCCAAAGAAACCACACTTTGTCACCAACTTGGAATAGATGATGTTTCTTCCTCAATTCATCTAAGACTAGCTTATAACATTATTGAGCCTTTTCTAGGTGAGTCTTCATAGTTGCTTGAAGTTCGGCCATCTTCATAGCAAACTCCTCTGCTGCTAGATTTGTTGATTTTGAAGGCTCTATCATATCCAACTTTGAATGATGACCGTAGTTTGAGTAGAATGGCGTTTGTTGTATAGATGCATGGATTGTATTGTTATATGCAAACTCTGCCAAATACAAATAAGAAGTCCAGTTGTCTTGTTGATAGTTGATGGTGTACCTCAAATATTACTCAAGAATTTGGTTGAACTACTTCTTTTGGCCATTAGTTTGAAGGTGGAAGGCAAAAGAAAGATTGATGTCAACCTTAAATATCTTAAAGAGTGCCTTCCAAAATCTTAATACAAATTATGGCCCATGATCCGACACAATGTCATTTGGCAACTCGTGGTAACGATAGACATTGTCAATAAAGAATCTTGTCATTTCATCACTAGTAATTGATTTCTTATAAGGTATAAAATGTACCATCTTGATGAATTGATCAACAAATATGAAGATGGTTAGATTTTAAAAGTGACTTATCTTTTAATTATTTTTTTATTAAAAAAATTATAAATTTAAACATATGAATAATTATATTACAAAAATAAAAGAACAAATAAAAAAAATTACTTTAATTATTTCTATTTTTAACTTTAATTCAATTAATATACTTTATTTTATATAAAAGATATTATAGAAGTTGATAAAAATTCTATTCATATATATAAGTTGATAGAATAGAATTATATAATGACCAATTAAGAGTTTAATATTTTTTTTAATTATTAGATTTTTTTTCAAAATACTAATATATAATATGAATATTATTATATAATTCAAAAGTTTTTTAAATACTTATTTTTATATAAAAAATTATTTAAATAATAATAAGAGTTTTTATTTACAAGTGATTCAAAATACTTAATCTAATTAAGTTGTCATAATTATTAATTCATATCAATTATATATCTTTATTAATTTTTTAAAAAATTAATATAAATAAAATATAAAAAAATTAAAATATCAAAATTTAATATTTTTATTAATTATTCATTTAAATATAATTCTAAAATAATTTAATTATTTTTAATTTTGAAATAATAAATTTATATTTATAAAAATAATACTTGTTATTATGAAGTGCTTTCAAAAAACAAAAATAAAAATAATTATATCTACATTATTAAGCTTAAATTTCATAGCCTTTGTTGTTGTTAAAATATAATTTAATGTAACAAATTGTAATATAAAAATATTAAATTTACTTCATAAAAATAAATTTTGTTTTTATGATAATTATTTAAAATATAATTAATCCTTTAATTACACATATGCCAATATAATATTATTTTTGATATTATTTTTTAAATATATATCAAAAGTCAACTATACTTTTCCTTTTCCTTTTCCTTTTACTATGACTTTTTACTTTTACCTTTACTGTGACTTTTACTTTTACATTTACTATGACTTTTACTTTTACTGTGGCTGTGACTTTTACTTTTACTTTTACTTTTGTTGACTGCGCGGTTGACTGCTCCGTTTATTACTGCGCCTTTTTGAAATTTGAACGTTGAGTTTGTGGGTGTATCCAATCCAAAGTGTGTGTTACAATTTGAGCTTACCCAAAACAAATTTGAAACTCTTGATTACAATTTTGAAGCTCTTGATTACAAATTTGATGTTCAAAACATTTTTTGGATTGTGCACTTCAAGATTGAGTTGTAAATTGTAAATTGTAAGTTGTAAGTTGGAAGTTGTAAGTTGGAAGTTGTAAGTTGTGAAGTTGGAGTTGGAATTGGTTGATGTGATCTTGGAGGTTTGAATACAAAGTTGGAGTTGGAGTTGGTTGATGTGATCTTGGAGGTTTGAATACAAAGTTGGAGTTGGAGTTGGAGTTACAAAGTTCAAGTTGTGGAGATTGTTCAAGAAATTTGAGGTGAGATTGCAATTTTTGCAAGATTGTGAAAGATTGAAAGGTTTTGAAAGATTGAAATTTTTGGTAATTTTTGATTTTGGGTAATCATAAAATCAAGTTTTCAAACATTAAACTTTCAAATCAAGTTGAAATTTAGTGGTTTTAGTTGCAAAAAACCAAACAAAAAACAAAAAACATCAAGGACTCAAAAACGAGCAGTTGTTGTTCTGTGATGTGCACATCGCCGAAACTTTTACTTTTACTTTTTTTAACTTTTTTTTTTTTTTTTTTTTTTTGCCCAACAATTTTTCATCCGCTGTGATTTTTCATCCGCAACGCGATTTTTCATCTACTGCGATTTTTCATCCGCTGTACGATTTTTCATCCACTATGTGATTTTTCATCCACTGTGCGATTTTTCATTCACTGCGCAATTTTTCATCCGCTGCATGGTTTTCATCTGCTGCGCGATTTTTCATCCACTATGGATGAAATTGTATTTTGGGCAGAATTCATTTAACAGTTAGTTAATATCTCCCAAAATACTAATTATTTTTGAATTCCGACTTCGGATTTGGACTTTTTAGGTGCATTTTCATTTAGTAGGAAAGAAAATGATTTGTGACAAAAGTTTTCAAAAATCGACATTTTTAAGTGTCTTCAAAAAAAAAAATTTAGAGTCTAAACTTTGGAGGTAGAGTATGGCTTGAGAATATGTTCATCACATTTGTTTTCATGCATGTTTTTTGTGTGTTAGATCAATACCTCTTGGCTACGAATGTGTTGTAAAGCAAGCGCCAACCTAATCTATTTTTTTTCTTTGAAGTGTAGTGCATTGAACATAAACTTTTTAGAGTGGAGTGAAATTTCATCAAAACGTGCAATTTTCTTGGAGCACAAGCTTACAAAGGTACTATCAAAAACCTTACTTTTGTGAGTTTTGAAATGGTTTGGGATTCACGTTAGGATTTTTGTTATCCTACATTAAACTCTGCTTTTTCTTATCAATTTTTTCAATCTTTGTGGAGTTTAGGATTTAGGGTAGGATTTCTTCTATCCTACACTAAATCCTATTTATTGATATATCTTTCTATCTTTGTGGAGTTTAGAATTTATGATAGGGTCTTCATTCTCCTATCCTAAATTCCACTTTTTTTATTATATTGTCATCTTTCTAGAGAATGGCTCGTGCTTTGTCTACCATTGATAATTTTGTAGATGTCAATGTTGATAGTGTTGGATCAATGTGCATCTAATGTCCAAAATGTTTGGCTTTTCGTTTTAAAAAAGAAAAAAATACCATTTGTTGTTACAATGGCAAAATTGCCAATAAACATGTTAATCACCCCATTGTCCATCCAATGCTCAATGAGCTTTATATGGGCACAACACCTAAATCTCGAGAGTTCCTTAAATCCATTCGAAAGTATAATCAAGCTTTTGCATTTACAAGTATGCGTAGTAAGTTTTAGTCTGGCCAAGTTGAAGGTAGAGGGGTATATACTTTTCGTGTGAACGGAGAGTTATGCCATCACATTGGAAATTTACAACCCGATTTAGACGAAGGTGCTAGATTTGCACAAATTTATTTCTTGGATGATGGTTTACAAACAAATCGTCGTATGGAGATTTTTGATGATCTTCATCGTGATGTTGTTAACAACATTCAAGAAGTTTTAGAATCCATAAATGCGTTGGTTCGTGGTTTTAAGTCTTCGCGTGATGTTCTTCAAAGGGGACAAAACATGGGACTTCGTATCTCCGGTGAGGTTCTTTTTGGTGAACATCCCCGTCGATATAATCACCAAGTAGTTCCAGAAGTTGCTGTTGTTGTTCTTGACGAACAATACATGAATTTTGGTAGAGATATTATTCTTCACCAACGTAGTGGAGATTTAATACGAATAAAAGAAATTCATCCAACTTACGATGCTTTATCCTATCCTTTGTTATTTCCTGATGGGCGATGTGGGTGGTCACCAACTTTTAAAGCAGATACTGAAGTGACTTTAAAGTCATATGTCCAATATTTGCTTCAAAAGCGCCTAGAATCTAATGTATTACATAAGGCTAGTAGATTATTCCAGCAATATGTAGTGGATCAGTATTTACGTGTAGAACATGAAAATTGCTTTTCATTAGGCAACATCAAACTGAACTTCGTGCAGAGTGCTATCAGGGGGTCGTAGATGCTTTGCAGGAAGACAATGGAGTACGCATTGGGCGTCGCATTGTCTTACCTACAACATTCATTAATTCCCCCCGATACATGCAAAAACTCTTTCATGATAGTATGGTTTTGGTTAGAGTTTTAGGAAAACCCGATTTGTTTGTGACAATGACATGTAATCCGACCTGGCTTGAGATTCTTGATGAGCTTGAGCCAGGTCAAAGTCCTCCTGATCGTCTAGATATTGTTGTGCGTGTTTTCAAGCTCAAGTTAAGAGCATTGATGGATGAGATTACGAAGAAGAATGTCATGGGAGAGACAATTGCTTTTTGTTACACTATTGAGTTTCAAAAACGTGGTCTTCCTCATACACACATTCTTCTTTGGTTGAAAGACAAGGTCAATGACTGTGACCTTGTAGATAGGATAGTATGTGCGGAGATTCCCGATTTAGATAGACAACCGCAATTGTATGCCGCGGTTGCCAAGCACATGATGCATGGACCATGTGGTTTGGACAATCCCAATTGTCCATGCATGGAAGACGATAGATGTACAAAGAACTATCCGATGCAAGCTCGAGATACTACCGAGGTGGATGGTAATGGACATGTTTTGTACCGTCGTCGAAATCAAGGTCGATATATCGAGAAACGTATACGTGGACAAATTGTCCGTTTAGACAATCGATGGGTTGTGCCATACAATCCATATTTGATAGGTCGGTTTAATTGTCACATTAATGTGGAAATTTGCAGTTCTGTAAAAACTGTCAAATACCTCCACAAGTATATTTTTAAAGGTCCAGATCGTGGTGTTGTAGAAACAGATGAAGTGGTAGATGAGATTAAGGATTTCTTGGAGGGTCGTTATGTGGCCGCCCAAGAAGCATGTTGGAGGCTCTTTGGTTTTGAAACTAATAATAAGAGCCATAGTATTTGTCGTTTACCTGTTCACCTTCCCGGTCAGCAATATGTTACTTTTAAGGAAGGAACATCTTTGCACTCGGTGATTGATCAAAATGCTGAGACTAAACTCACCAAGTTTTTTGAGCTTAATTGCCATATTCGTGCCTTAATTGCTTCTGGCAATGAAGGCAACCATATGCTTCTTCGTTACATGGATCTTCCACTCTATTACAAGTGGGATGTGAAGAATAACATGTGGGAAAGAAGAGTACGTAAGATAAAAGTTTTTGGTCGGATAAACATGGTTCCCATAGGTACCGAAGTATTTTACTTGCGTTTGTTGTTGACTCATGTCGAGGCACCAACTTCATTTGAGGACCTACTTTGTTTTCATGATATAGTGTATCCAACGTACAAGGCCGCTTGTATTGCAAGAGGACTTTTACAAGATGATTCTGAATGGAAAAATTGTCTGCAAGAGGCAACTGTCATTGCGTTGCCTAAACAAGTTCGGCGGTTGTTTGCAACACTTCTTGTGTTTGGAAAACTGCTAGATCCTCTTAGCTTACTAAAGACACATCTTGATGCTATGTCTGATGATTGGCGCAATGATCAAAATTGCTATTGCAAAGCAATTTTGTCCATTGAAGAATATTTGTCATCATCAAACAAACATCTTACAGATTTTTTTAATATCGAAGAATTGAATGAGTTTGGTTATTCAAACATTGTTGATATTGGCGGTGATTCCAATGACAATATTGATTTTGATAACCAAAACATTACTTTTCTAGAGGAGGATGTAGGTAGACTCAACGAAGAACAATACATTGTTTTTAATGCGGTGACCACTGCCGTTTTAAATTCTAATTCTCCAGATCGGCTTTTCTTTTTAGATGGTCCTGGTGGTACAGGTAAGATCTTTTTGTATAACACCATATTAGGTTATCTTCATGGTCGTAATGTCAAGTGTATGGCAATGGCAACAAGTGGAATTGCCGCATGCCTTTTGAATGAAGGGCGAACGGCACATTCAGCTCTTGCTATTCCTTTACAGTTGCACGATGCATCAATTTGTAACATTAGTGCCCAGTCTACATTAGGTCAAAGCTTACGTGAAGTACAATTGATTGTACTTGATGAAGCTTGTGCTAGGCATCGTTTTATGTTTGAAGCTATAGACAGATCATTGTGAGATATACGTAATATAGATAGTCCAAATGGTGGTGTTGTAGTATTATATGGCGGTGATTTTTGCCAAACTTTGCCTGTAGTTGTACGTGGAGGTCGCAAGCAAACTGTTCAAGCTTGCTTGCGACATTCATACCTATTTCCACTAATGTAACATTTTCATTTGACCACTAACATGCGTTTGTAAAGTCAATCGGACTTTCAACGATTTTTGTTAGATATTGGTGAGGGCAAAACCGGTCGAAAGGTAGATTTACCGCTAGGATTAGTTGCTCCTGGAAATTCTTTAGATGGTCTCATTGATGCTATTTTTGATGATCCAGTTGATTTTTCTGAGCGCATCATTTTGGCTGTCCGGAATGATGATGCCCAAGAAATCAACCGAAAAATCACTGATCGTATACCTGGTGATGTGCATCAATGTTTTAGTGCTGATTTTGTTCACGAGAATGATGAACATGCCCATCATTATCCAGTAGAGTTTTTGAATTCTTTACAATTGAGCGGTTTGCCTCCTCACCAATTAAGTCTTAAATGTGGCCAATATTTGATATTGCTAAGGAACTTGAATCCGGCAAAAGGTTTGTGCAATGGTAGTCGTTTGCGTCTTTTGCAAGTGTCTTCTAGTGTGTTGTTATGTGAAATTGTAGAAGGACGCTATCGTAGCCAAGAGGTATTGATTCCTAGAATCACACATCATTGCAACGATAGCCGCTTGCCATTCACACTTTGCCAAAGACAATTTCCTGTCACTGGTGCTTTTGCCATGACAATCAACAAATCGTAGGGCCAATCATATGATCGAGTTGGCATTTATCTTTGCAATGAAGTATTTAGCCATGGTCAATTATATGTGGGATTGTCTCGTGGTAGACATCCTGCAAACATTAAGGTTGCCAATGACAACAATGAAGCCGTGGGAACGGTTAAAAACATTGTTTATCATGAGGTTTTTACATGACATTGTCATATAAATTCCTATAAATATTTACACCTGAATCAAGTAGATGGAAAAGTTAAGAGTTTGTTTCAAACTCTGCATGTTTAGGGTTCATGCACGCTTTGGCGACGTCCCCTTCCATCCAATTGCATTCTTTTGGTGTTCAATTATGTTTTCTCAATTGAGACAACTTACCATTCAATTGAAGAAGGTTACATCTTGAATTTCACTATTCAATGAATGGATATTTTCCAATGCATGCATCTTTAGATGCATTTTATTTCTAAAATTTATTACTCTATTCTGTTATATTACATTCTTAAAATTCATGCTTAGGTCATGAAGACATATTTATATATGTAGATTGTTGTTACCTTCCTTTTAAACTATTTTGTAATATAAGAACTACATTAAAATGGTTGGACTAATGCGTTGCAAAGCAATCGCCAACCGCTAGTTTAAACATAAAAATTTAGCTATGAATAAAAATTATGGTAATATTAATATATATATATATATATATATATATATATAACATCATTATATATTTATGTTAATAGAAAATAATATAATTTTGAAATATTGACATAATTTTATTTTTTATAATCTTAATCATATCAATATATCAAAATTGAATTGATTTTTTATAAATGATGTAAATATTAGAGCTTTACTTTACTTTTCATTCTTAAATTGATGGTCAAATAAAATGAGCTAATCAACTTTTGAAATAGTATTTTTAATGTACCATCAACTATCAACAAGATGATTGGACTTCTATACTTCTATAAAGAGTTCATATAAATATGGAATAAAAAAGAGTCCATCTTTAAAAATATTCTTAAAAAATATTTTCATAGTTCTACTTTCATCAAATGGACTCCATTCTATTTTGCTTGATTTATTTATAAATTTTTTTATATATACTCTATTTACAACTAACACCTATAAATTTGCTTCTCGTCATAATTAACATTATGATATCTACTATTTTATTCATATTTTCATGTTTCAAAACATCATCAAAGATGATTAAAAGTCAATTTTTTTGAATATTTTCAAAAAATTAATTCTTTTCTTTTATCAAGCTTCTTGGCTTTGCTTTTATTGTCTAAAACTTGTAAAGTTTTACTTAACCCTATTAAATAGTTTTTTTTAGATTCCATATAATTGTACCATATAAAAAAGTTGAGTTTTCAAAAGATGTTTATTTGATATTATTATTTTCATTTGATAAAAATATTAATTTATTGGATAATGTTTTATCAATGTGCTCTTTAAAAGCCTTCGCCAATGTGCACTTGCATATACTAGCTATACTAACTACACCTATCAATTTGGTTTTTAAAAAGTAACTTCTTCAATTCTACAAATATTAATTCAAGATTGAAATCTTTTTGTTCTTATCAAAAATAATTATAAATTCATGTATATAAATTTAATACTATAAATAATATTTTTTTATAATAAAATAATAGATTCAAGTAGCAGATTTTACACATTCAATTCTAGGTTCTTCTCTTTTGCAAGTCCTCTCAAATGGTCACTATGTATGAATCATCAAATCAGCTCACTAGCTTTTTTAGGATAAAAAGATATATTTAGAATGCTTAAAACCACAATATATAGTGAGTAGTATGGAACACCTTAGAAAATTAAAAAATTAGAATGTTAGTTATAAAAATGGAATCTTAGTAAGTCTTGGAAGCAATTATCTTAGTTGTTTTAGTATTTTTACTTATTATTGAGTATTAAGGATTAATTATTTAGATCAATATTTATAATGGCCTTATATCTATATATATTACTTATAAATTTTTTATAAATGTCACTTAATAGTTAGAAGAAGCATGAGAAAGAACATCATATATTTTTTATTAATTAAATAGAAAATAGAATTTATAATTGATTTAAATTAATTTTATTCTTATAAAAAATCACCAAGGTAGTAAAATATAGATTTAAATTTATGAAAATATTATAGAAATATTAAATAATTTTAAAAAATTTATTTAGAATTTATTTAGAAATTTTTAGGAATTTTTAGAGTAATTTTCAAGACTTTGGTAAAAATGAGCTTTACCATCTTGGGAGCCATTACGAAGAAATGGAGCAAGATTTGAAGGTCATTCATAGGTTCTTAAGCTAAACGGGTGTTTTTAAATACTATGGTAAAGTCAAAAATGCAAAAATATTGGTTTTACTAGTAGAAAATAGGAGGACCAGCAGATAGTGTAGCCCTTGTAAGAAGGGAGGTGCACAAGTCCCATATGGATTGTAGCACCTTGAAGGTAGTTAAGAAGATAAGACTAAAGCCTCATAGTTTTTCTTAGATACCAATATACACTACTTGTGAACCTTGGTGAGGCATGAACTCTTGATTTTTTAAACAAATTATCTTTGAGGTAAAATTTATTTGATTATTTTTTTAATATTTATCTTTTATTTTTAATCTTTCATAACTTACTCATAATTATTCAGATTTATATATTTATTATACCATTGGAAAGATTAAAAAAAAAATAATTAAAATATATTTTTTATTTTTATTTTTTAACTTTTCTAAGGTAAAAACTTAAAAAATAGACTATGATTTGTTTTGTAATGTATAATTGCTTGATTGCACTTTTTTCACTTTTTTTTGTATTGTGCATCTTTTGTTCTTGTTCTTGCTACTTCCACTTTATACCATCAATTACAAACAACTCTTAATTGAGGCCATCTTGTAATTTGGATTAAGCGGTGAAATTTACCTTCACATTGTTTCATCACCATTTATTTTAAATTTGGATATTCTAAAGTCTATTAATTTTACATATATTTAACCATTTTTTTTTTATTTCTTCGATCTCAAAATTCACAATTAGAATATTTTGAGGCTTTAAGTTACAATGAGCCATCTTTATGTCATGAAGATAAAACATTTTATTAAGAATTTGAATCATTATATTAACTTTGTGTAAAAAAGACATCTCCAAACATTAATTGTGACATAATAATTTAAATAAGCTCATATCACCTTTTTCTATACTAATTATAATTCCTCCATTATGATTTGAATAAACTTTATAAGCACAATAAAATACCTTAATAATATTTGGATGATTCAAATAAAATTAAATATGTGCTTCTTTATAAAATATAATTTTTTCTTCAACACTTTCAAAGGATATAATCTTTGTAATACTTCCAAAGTTCAACCATGTTATTATATTTATAATCACTCCTATTCTTTTTTGTAGCTTTTGAGAGTTTTTTCTATTATCTGCTTAAAGATAATCTATAAGAAAAGATATAAATTCTTCTATTCTACACTCAAACTTTTGCATGCAAGATTTCTATTTTAATAAATAATTAAATAATTTTAAAATACTAGAATTATTAGATATAATGTCAATCATATTATTTAATTTTTGAAATAATAATCTTTTATCATTTACAAGATCTTTTAAACCACATGATTCAAATTTATTGCACCCATTAGCCTCTATCTTTTGACATAATCTTCTTTTGAAAACAGCACCATAAATTATATTGTAAAACTATTGCAATTCCAAGAAAAATTTCCTAAATGTCTTTGAACTAGATATTTATATTAATACCACTTTTTCCAATCTTTTGAATAATTTTATATCACCTTCTTTTCTTTGACAAAAATTTGAAACAAGTCCTCTAATATTGGTTGCAATATGTATAAATATGCTTCATCTATAACTTTAATTTCTTATAAGTATTTTTTAAAATTTTTCAATAAATTCTTGCATTGATTTTTATTGAATTTTTCTTCTCATATGACCTTAATATTATTAACCTCTAATTCCATAGTCTTTATTGTTGTTAAAACCTCTATATCCTTCAAAATATTTATGTTCAATATCCTACATGGACGACACACAATTTTTCATGAGTTAACTTAGTTTTTATAAAATTCAAAATACTAACAGCATATAATGTTTTTTTAACTAGTCCATACTTCTCTAACTTATAACTATTATCAAAGCTAAATAATTAAATTTGAAATAAATACTTCAAGTATAAATAATTTTCTTTTATCAATCTTAAGACATTATATTTTACTTAATGAATAATATTTAATTAATTTTTTTAAATAAAAACTAAGAAAAGTCTACTATATTTTATTTAATCAAAATTACAAGTAATCAATCTATTAGCTATCTTTTTAAAATTAAAATATTTATTACATATCATAAATAAAAATAATCATATTATTTTAATATAATTCAAAATTTAATTCAAAATTTAAATAAACATATTTGAAAGATAAATAAAATAAAATAAAAAAGTTCTTGAATACAACTTTTATTATAATTTTTTTTAATTTATTCTATACTCTAATATCTACAATCAAATGTTTAGGGACTTTGTTAATGTAAATTAAAATAAATCCTCATTAATTAGTAGTCTATTTTAATCTATAATAATTTCTTATGATTTAATAATATAAAAATACTACTTTAAGCTCTTATAAAAAAGACTCCTTAAGCTCTTCTAACTATCTTTCTTAACCACTAAATCAATCCACAAATAACCATACATGCAATATAAATAAATCCTAAGCTCTCAATTCTTTAATAATATAATTTTATTTTTTATATTTTTTTATAATTAATTTTCATTCATCAATTAATATTCATCTAAGTACAAATTATTATCTGCAAATGAATTTTCATTTAGGAATGAATTTTGATCCACAAATAAGAATTCATCCATAACCTATGTTTATCTAATTTGATTATTTATTTGATTCAATTTAACCACATCCATGTACCATCTTATCTATTACATGATTTAGGTTTATTACGGTTTAGATTTTATTAATCAAAAAA